AGGGCAAACCAAGGAAGGCCAACCACAGACACGTGATATTTGAAGCTTCTATACTGGCTGCTGTTTCGAATGGAGCTAACATTTATTGAGGCCCTACTATATTCCAGCTACTCTTCTTCATGCTTATTACCCCGATCTTATATGTGAGGAGACTAAGGCCCAGAGAGGTGACTGCTCCAAAGCCCATCCGTTCCTATCTACGTGAGGCCACAGCCCATCCTATCATTCAAAGACTTAATTTTTCCTACAAGGGTCACATTATCTGAACTCGTGAAGATCCTATATGTTTAAACCCCCATCACGAGCCAGGTTCAAGGTCCCTCCCACGTGGTTCTTGGGTTCCGTGCACACTAGGGCAGGTTGCTTTTGATCTGACAGGATGTCTGAATGTTCTTTGGCAGCACATACGTCCCCTAGAACAATGACAAAGATGGCTGGCCTAGGACACTCTGCAGTGTCCAACTCCTGTGCCAGAGAGTGACAGGCTCTCCTCTCTAACCTGGCCAAAATGCCCTCATACTTACTTCAACTCTGCAACAGCTGTGTTTGTGGGCCATGGGGGACTTTCTCAGACCTCCCTCTCCACTGATGTCCAGTACACCCCTAAGTCCTGTCCCTCCTCATGCTTCTGTGGAAGCCCCTTCAGAGTCAGATTTGTAGAGACCCCAAACTCAGCACATCCAACACCAAGCCAGCTCCCCACTCACAACCCTTTTCCCGTATCTTCCTCCTCAGCACCACCGTCCACTTGGTCCATCAAATCGAACTCTTTCTTTCCCACCATCTACTTACTTATGGAAACAAAGGTTCTCAGAACTTAGAGTTATACAATTTTTTAAAAAGTAATATAACAGATGCTAAATCTTATCTCGAGATAGCAATAATTCCTATTCAACCCCAGACATAAGAATTAACTTGGAGGAGAAAAAATCATACTCATTTCATTAAAATGTGCATTTCCCATTTTGTTTGCTAGTCATTAATCAACATTTTAAATGTTGATTTTATAAAGTTTGAACAAGTAATCATTTAGAAAAGATAACTCGATTGCGAAGAAATTTTTAACACTTCATAACTTGCGATCGGGATTGACGTAAACACTGCATTTGTGATATTGTACTGGTTTTATAAGATGCTTCCATCGGAGGGAGATGGGTAAAAAGTATGTGGAATCTCTTTGTAAATATACAATTATCTAAAAATAAAAAGTTTAGTTAAAAAAAAACTTCTTATTATAAAAGAATTGTTTTTTGCAAAATATTTTTAGCAGAGAACTAGGTAACCAACTAAAGACTGAAAACAATATGTATGTATAAGCTACATTAGTATGAAGTTCTAAAGAAGGAATAGAATGGAAACAAATTGAAAGAGGAAAAAAGAGCAATCGATAATTTCTCAATGTTAAAAAAAGTATAAGGCCACACATTTTTTAAGTGAACGGCGGTGATAATCAAATTGTTTTGTTACTGAGGATACATTTAGAAGAGCATTTAGAAGAGGATACATTTAGAAGAGCAGATTTAAAATTTCATTTAAAATGTTAATAATTTTAAATAGTATGCCAGAAATGATATTATTTGCTACTATTTAAACCTATGATTAAATTTTCAGATGTTATTCTCAGACCATACGAGGGGTATAGAGTTTTTCAAAAGTCTTCCGGGGGATACACAAGAGCACAAATACATTTGAGGGGCCCCGCTCTAGCCAAGCACATTCCACTTCTAAGTGCGTCCAGGTTTTTAGCAATCTGGACCTTGGCATCCATCAGCTTGTTCACTCTAATGCCCTCTCATTGTCTGCCAAGCTAGTGTCTTTCGACTCTCCCCGCAAGCCTCAGCCCACTGGGAGCTCCTCCCCAATGCTCAGCACAATCACGCCCTTCCGCTCATGTTGCTGCCTGACCTCCCGTGTGGTATCATCACACGGTGCCGTAAATGTGTACTTGCTTGTCTGTCTCCCAATTATTCTGTGCAAACCTTTAGGGTGAATTCCTTTTATGATTCTATCTCTGGTATTGCCACAAAACAGATCCAATAGTCTTTCTTTGAATGAATGAATGAATGAATGAATGAATGGATGGATGGATGGATGGATGGATGGATGGATGAATGGATGGATGGATGGATGGATGGATGGATGAATGATCATGAGCATGGTATTAATAGCTTACAAAAGGGCTGGCTTACCATTTGGAAGATATATTTTCATTTTAAATGCTGTGTACTAAGGCTAAAGATACTTAAACCACTGCACATCAGAGTTCAAGGGAATTCATTCATTCATTCACTTATTAAAAATTCTGCCCTGGGTTACCACAGTATTAAAAGTACAAAATTATGCTAAAAGGTAGAAATAGTATTGATGGCAGAGACAAATCACCTTGTCTTTTCATAGAGTCACTGAAGCCACTGATATTCAGAAATTGGATTCGCTCTTCAAAATTTCGGACTAGAGTATCTATCTGCTAGGTCACTCAGCTGACCTTCAAAATGCAGGGGTCTCACATGTTGACACAAACAGATAATCTTATCTTATGTCTTGAAAAGGCTCTATTCAGAAAATTCCGTCTCCCTCTATCACTCTATGCCAGTGGTCTCTACTACTCTACACCTGATTTGGGTCAATCTAATTCCTTTGTTCAATCACCGTTATGACTGAACAAAGAAAATAAATACAGACACAGGCAATTTCATATCGAGTCAGATCTGTCACCCGTTCAGTCTCAACATCCACGACTGAAGATCACATCAAGCGCTGTGTTATAGAGGACCATGGTTATCCCTAAAATATTTAAGAGTAAAGTATAAGTCTCTCCCGCTTCTTTTGCAATTCATCATGGGCCAATAATTCATGAGATAATTCCAGAAACCATTTAAGTGTAATACCTTCACTCGTTTATTCATTCACCCTTTCAATTCAGTAAGAGTTCACAGAGCACCTGCTCTATGCGAAGTATTCCGCTTATGCATAGAGGTCACAGACTTTATTCAGATTTCACCAGCTCTTACATGCCTTCGTGTGTGTGTGTGTGTGTGTGTGTGTCTCCATGCAATTTTATCACAGGTATACCTTTGTGTAACCAACACCACAATCAAGATACTGAACTGTTTCATCACCGCTAAGATCTTCCTCCTGCTTCCCTTTTTGTCAACACCCACACCCGTACCCCTTTCTCCTCACCCCATTCCTAAACCCTGGCAAGCACTAACTTGTTCTCTAATTTCGTCATTTTGAGAATACTACATACAGTAGAATCATACAGCATGTAACTTTTGAGATTTTTTTTTCATTCTGCATAATACTCTTGAGATCCATTTAGGTCATTCCATGGATTAACACTGTTTCTTTTTATTGCTGAGTACACAACATTTAAACTCCATTGTGCTATAGATGTGCTACCGCTGGTTTAAGCAGTTAGAAGGACACTTGTCATTTCTAGTTTGGGACTATAACAAATAAAGTTGCTATGCATATTGATGTAAAAGTTTTTAAATGGATATATGTTTTCGTTTCTCTAGGATCGATGTCCAAGAGTCCAATTGCTGGATCATATGGTAGGTAAATGTTCAGTCTTATCAGGAACTGCCAAAGTATTCTGCAGAGCGGCTCTGCCACTTTACATCCCCACCAGCAGTGCACAAGAGATCCAGTGTCTCTGCATCCTCACCAGCACTGAGTATTATCACGATTTTTTAAAAAATTTATTAAAGTATAGTTGACATACAATATTATATCAGTTTCAGGTGTACAACACAGTAATTAGACATTTATATACCTTACAATGTGATCACCACTCTAAGGCTAGTCACTGTCACTGTACAAATTTATTATGATATGATTGACTATATTTCTTGTACTGTACCCTACATCCCTGTGTAGTTTTTATTTTAGCTACTGTTATAAGTATATAGTGATATCTCATGTGGTTTTAATTTGAATTTCCCTAATGGCTAATGATATTGAACATCTTTTCAAGTCCTTATTTTCTATCTGTATTTCCTCTTTGGTAAAATGTTTGTTCATGCCTTTGTCCATTTCCTAACTGGCATGTGTGTTTTATTGTTGAGTTTTGAGGGTTCTTTATATTTTCTAGATATAAATCCTTCATGAGATGTGAGGTCGGCAAATATTTCTTCCAAGTCTGACGTTTCTTTGTTCATCTTAACTGAGTCTTTCTCTGAGAAAATGTTTTAAATTTTTATGAAGCCCAATTTATCAGTGTTTATTTATATGGACTATACTTTTGGTGTTATATATAAGCGCTCTTCACCAAGCACTGGTCTGAAAATTTTCTAAGTTTTCTTTTAAAAGTTCTAGAGTTTTCTTTTTTATATTTAAGTATATGATCTATTTGAGTTAATTGTTGTACAAGGTATGATATTCGAGGTTGAAATTCATTTTATTTTGCCTGTTGATGTCCAATTGCTTCAATACCATTTGTGGACAATATTTATTGCCTATCAATATCTATAACATATCTAAGAATATTACTTTTTTTATTTCTCATAGTAGTAATATATTCCTTCTCCCTCATGTTTTTTTCCTTTGATCAGTCTTCCTAGAGGTTTACCATTCCTTTGCCTCTCTGTCCCCCAAAAAACTTTCGGCTCTGTTATTTTTTTTTCTCGTTTACTTTCTATTTTATTTATTTCTTCCCTTATTTTTATTACTTCCTTCTGTCTTCACTCTTTTGGCTTAATATGTTAATTTCAAAAAAAAAAACATAAGATGGATCTTATTCCATGTCATCAATTTATTTACATCTAGATTATAGCTTTGGTCTAAAACATTCTGAGTATTTTCAATGTTTGCTCTAAAATCTCTTATTTGCATGCATTGGAACATTTTGACAGATTCTCCCCAAAGCCATTCTAAGCTAAAGCCACTAATTCATTAAGTTTACGTTTTTGCTTTCTTTTTTCCCCAAACTCACTTTCGCAAACTCCCTTCGGTCCTCCTCTTTTTTTAAAACCATATTTGGTCTCTACTTCACTTACCCAGGTGACTGATGGCTTCTTTGTCCCACGGCCAGGTGGCAGCACCTGCAAGGTCTTCCTTTACTGAGCTGGCAAAGTAGACATTGAGGAAGTGAGTACTGTTGAGCTGCAGAGCCTCCTTCAGCTCCTTCACGCTCATGTACGCCCTGGAGAGCATGCAAGAGGAGAAATGAGCACAGTAGATCACACGCAGAGCACGGCAGAGCCCAGCTCACCCAGCTCTGACGCTCCTGGCCAGCACTGCCTCTTAGAGGGGCAGGGACCAGGCTGTCATGAAGATCATAACACACATTTGAGACATTTACTCCAAGGGAAATATAGCCCACCTTGTTAGCACTATAACACTTATGTGAATACTCAGTATTTGACATCGTACTCCATTCTCCACTCTACACCCTGATTCTTCCTTCAAGGTACATCCAAAGACACTCCTAATTCTTTGCCCTGAGAATGACACCCAGGCCACGGTGAGAAAGGCCTTCCAGCTCTGTCCCCGGCTCTCTGCATCACACCGCATGATCATTATTATGGTATGAAGACCAATCGAATCTTTAGTTCAGCATATGCTTGCTTCCAGATCTTTTAAAGAGAAATAGTGGCTAGGAAACATGAAGTAAAAGAGGAAAATAAGGGATGAGTGCTAGGTAGCAGAGGATATCATAAAGCTATTGCAAAGAATATTAACGGTGCATATGTGCATATGTGTGTGTATGTAACATATACATATATGTACATATGTATATATGTGTGTGTACGTGTATATATATATATAATTTCTCTTTGTAGTCTCTTAATCCATAGAAACTCTACTCTTACTCCAACTGCCTTATGATACCAAGTATCTTTATTGGTGGTCTTCAAAGCAACAGGCAATATTACGTTTGCACTTATGCACAGAATTAAGTCTATTAAAAACACATGCCCTGTGACCCATAAAAAAGGAAACAAGCATTTGATCTCTTCATAAGCTCACATATAATCAAAGACCCCCATCTTCCTGACATCAGTGAAACTTAAAACTTTGGCATGAGCACACGGAGCCTCCACGTTCTCACCGAAGAGCTATTTTAAGAAGGAACAACTAACCCACGGCTCAGTGGCCCCTACGACTCACTGGATAATTCCCAAGGTGGCCACGGTCTGCCACTCCTAAGAGGAAAACGTTCCTATCAGAGCTTCAACTGGGCAGACAGTTCCCACGACATTAGCTGGAAATTTCCTTTACAGATCCTACTTCATTGTCGCTCTTCTGGTCGACAAGCTGCAGACACGGAAATCTCCCAGCCCGGAAGCTCATGGTAGGACAGCACGATGCTTCCGTTCTTGCTCGCTCTGCCTCCCAACCACGCTGTTGATGCCATGTGCTTAATCCACCATCGGATGTCCTGGCAAGGAGTACCCAAGAAAGAGAGATCCCAAAGAAGATTGCTTTTGTGTTCTTTGGAACAGGATAAAAGTAAAGAAACAAAACAGATTTTGCTATAGAACCGAAGATGTTTGGGAGAAAAGAGATTTGAAAAATAGTCTTTCTGATTGACTTATAATATCTTGGAAAATAGTTCTCAGCCCCAAGAAATCATCCAAATTCCATGAAGTGATGTCAGATGCGATCACAGGATATTCCTTTTGCTGCTTTCTTGGAGACGCAGTGTTTTCTGGACTGATGCCTGGTCTTCCCCGAACGTCAGTCACATTCCCTTTCCCTTTCCCCTTTATTAAAATTAATTACAATTTCCTGTATTGACAAATTGATGGTTTGGAGCTGCGAGGACATCAAATAATTCTTCAATACGGAGATGTTTCAACAGGCCAGAGGAAAGGACCAGAGAGCAGGCAAAAAGGAGAAAAGAGAGAAGGGAGAAGAGAAGAGGAAAACGAAAAAGAACAGAAAAGCGGGCAGAGAGACGCCGAGGCTGAATCTATGCACAGCTTAGGCCACCGCGGGAGAAAAGCTGCTCCATTGCTTTGTTTCTATCCAGAGTTCCCGTTAAAATCAGGAGTCAGTAATTTCATAGTTTTCTCTCTTTGCCCCTCCCTCATTTTTCCAAACCCGCCTGTTCCTCGCACAGTTTATTTGGGCTCTGTGTGTTACTGGCCTCTGTCTGCCATTGACTAGTCTTGGCCACCATCCTTCTGTCCTCCTTCAACCCAGCAGTTCTACTAATTTCCCTCTAAGAGGCCTCCTCCTGCACCAACCCCGTTAGCTGCTTCTACTCATCCCTCTTTTCCTCCTCTCCCAACTCTCTCTCCAGCCACAAACCACCCTTCCAGATGAGAGTGTTTATGTCATGCCGGTGGCAAACTGGGTGCAGTTGCTCCGACTTCCACACTCTCCAGAAATATAGACAGAAGTCAGCGAGTAGAAGAGAGAGAATACATTTTTAAAAGCCAGAAACAGTTGGAAATAGTCATTAATTGAATCCATAGAATCATGCCTTATTTGGTTGGAAACAAAGATATTTGTCCAGATTATTCCCTAAACCCGAAAGGGTAAAAATATAGACATCAGTGTGTCTCCTTTGCATGTAGAATGTCCCACCTACTGTAACACACGTACACCATTTCAGAAATTAAATCAGAGCTAATGAAGACAAACACGTTAGCTCGTCAAATAATGTGACGAGATCCCGGCTTAGACCGAGGGGGCGGGGGAAGTGGATATTATTCATAAATTCAGAGCGTAACATCTTGCTTCAGGAATGATTTATTAAGAGATAGACTTTCCACCCAAAAGAACTTAATATTCAAAGGGAGGTAAAATGATATACACGAGTGTCATTAACAGCATAAGGGTCACGAATGGACAAGAACTGAACTGTGTATGGAAAGGGAGATGAGCTGCTTTCATCTGCTTAATTTCTGCGAGCAGCTCCCTCTACCGTGCTCTCCACACTCTAGATTGACATGCTCACCATACACTTCTCCCCGTGGACTCAGATCAACCCAAGTGAAGCCGTGTATTGATTCTTATTTAAAAAAAAGTCTCAGAAACAAGCTCTCCTTGAGGCTGACATATCAAGTTGTCATGGCCACTGCTCAAGTCTGTCGTTCCCGACTTCGCGATGGCAGCCTGAAGGTTAGATATCAACCACTCCCGGCGTCCGGTCCACCGTGGTCCACTGTCTCACAGACTTCCAACGCGCTCGTTTTGATTTTTCTTTTCTTCATTTGGATTTCTGCCTTGCTCCCTGACCACTGAGCCCAGCCACACTCCAATATCTAAGTGTGCGTATAAACTCCGATTCTCGCTTAGTTTCTGACTGAGCAACGTGAAAGGATATAGAAGTAGCTTTTTGTGCTCTAGTTTAATAGTCAGTTGATTAACTCTTTTATAGACTGATAGAAATAATCCGAGAATGAAGCCAGGTAAGAATAAAGGTCCTGAGCTGTCTGAAGGAAGGTGAACCAGCATTGGAAACTGGCCTGTTGAGAAACTAAAAGAAGGATGCACGTGGGCCCTGAGACGGGGACCCCCAGCCGCTTGCCAATCAGAGCCAGCCCCGCCCACAGCACGAGCCCGCCCACATTCCACGGGTGGGAAGGCGGCCGCCACAAGAACAAAATCAGAAGCCCTCAGGCACCTGCCAATTCCCCTCGTTGAAATGTTGTGCCATAGCTGGAATATTTTGGTCTGGTTGAATCTAAGCCTTCCTGTCACTGTGGTACACGATGACTCTCTACCCAGAATGCACAGAGGGTTCCTCCTTCACCCGCTTCCACTACCTACACTTTGCCAACTGTGCTTCCTCCGCTGACAATCCCCTTTGCCCTGCTCCCCAACCCTTTCACCGTGCTCACACCACGGGACTTACTGGTCCCTAGAGCACCAAGCTGGCATTCTCCCAGCTGCCCAGGGCAACTTCCAAAGTTCGTTTTTTGTTTTGTTTTGTTTTGTTGCCTTTTGACAAATGCCTCCTACTTTGGGGCACCCAGTACTCTACGAGGTCACTTCTCTCTGATTCTCCACTTCCTCTCATTTTCCCATCTGTTTGTCCCATACACATGGAGGGCTTTAAAATCTGGCTCACAACCTTCGCCTTAATCCCACCTTCTATCGTCTGAGGAAATGTCAACATTTATGGAAAACACCCACTGAAAACACGATCTTATTTCTGGCTTCCTTATCTCCAGTGACCTTCGCAGATGCTTCATATATATTTTCTCATGTAAAACGCACAACAATTCGATGCGCTCAGCATAAATTATTTTATTTTTACAGGTAAGAATCTAAAGCTTACAGAGATAATCACTTGCCCCAAACCACATAGCTTATAAGTTTTAGAGGCACCTTTTAAACCTGACCTCTTCTAATTCCAAAGCACATATACTGTCTTCTAGATTTAAGTTGGTTTTCCTAATATACGTGAGTCACTGTGTTGGGCCTTGGCCATGAAAAAATACATAAGACATGACTCTTGTTTTCAAGAAGCTCGGTCTGGTGAGGAAGACACCCACATAAACAAATCATCATGACACGAGGTGACAGGCACTATCATAGCCATGTGCACAAAATTATCTGCAAGAACAGAAGATGAGACTGAAAAATGAGCTTAGAGAACCTGAAGTTAAGAGGGCGTTGTGGAAGTTTGCGGCCGATATTACGAACTGGTTTGTGCACATCTACCCCACCCTCCTCCTAGTATGACGTTCTGCTCTGGAGACAGGAAAGTTCAAGTCTACATTTCTCCAACTCTCTTGGACCAGGAGATGTGGCTGTGATTTAGAGTCTACCAGTCAGTTGTGCTCTAATGACAGTTAGAAGGTGACAGTGAGATGAAGACCTTACTTCTACCTGCTCTTTGTTTCTCTGCCTGCAAGCACGGCAGGGCGAGTGCTCTGGTCCCCGGCCACTAGCGGTGAGGGCAGGGAGAAGCAGGCGAGGGGCAAACATTGTGGCTGGTGTGGATCTAGCAGGCACAGCGTGACTCAGCAATGGCAGCTGTGGTTCCCCGATCTCTGTGTTCCTGAAACCAGCAGTTCTACGGGGACCTTAGGGTTCCCCACTTTCTTGTCTGTGGTGGCGGCTCCGCTTGCAGGCCAGTTCTGCAGTGTTGTCCAGAGAGATATTCCTGGATGCCCAAACTCAATCCCACTATACTAGCCCTTACAAAACCTTGGTAACAACTAAATTCCTGTATTTAATCAT